ATATACCAGAAGACGCAATTTAAGGCAGTGACACGCACGGGATTGTGGAGAAGACTAACCAGCCGTGGCCGGTAGCCAGCGTAAAGGCTACGCAGTGCATGACAGAAAGTAAATAGTAAGGCAGTTGATTATTTTGATAACAAGACAACGATGCTAGGAATTAACCTTGATAAGACTTTGCGATGGAAGCCGAACACCATCAACATTTCCTTAATAGTTTATCTAACGACAATAAGGTTTACAATCGTAAACAAAATGTGAGCGTCGAAAAAATTCTCAGATTGACCTTATTGTTACAAGAAAAGTGTAAATTATGCCTTGTTAAATTTACGATCATGAAATACGAAATCCTGACTAACATCGCGATGAAATTAATGGGCTGAAAACTGAACACGGCACCTATCACGTAACAGAAGAAGCTCATAACATAATACAAGTAAACAACAATCACGCAATTTCCTTTACACTTTTTGTGACCTTCACACGTTTTGTATTCCATGTCACACGATGACACTCGAGGAAATGAAGGTATTGACGAATTGTCAAAGAGATCCGGTAAAGAAAACGGTGAAGCACTGAAGCGTGCCGCACGACATGACAATTTCCTCGATAACTGGCTTACCTATATGAACGAGTTAATATAACTGGAGTGTAATCAAACTTTTTAATTTTGCTAGGCAAGTCACTATGTAACAAATTTTTTAAAAGGTTCTGTTTCTGGTTTGACAGTATTGGTTTTTGCTTAAGCAGCAAATATGTGGAAATGAGTAGCTTTACCTCTGAAAATTTCTGCTTTTGGAGATAGAGGTATTTAAATACTCTCGTAAATCAACTCATTTCTAGGTTTTTGTCATCAATTTGAAGAATTCTGGTTGAAATATACTACAGATTTTAAATATGAAGTTCCCTTTTTGTCTTTAAATAAAGAGAATTTCAACTTTTCGTCGTCCTGACCACAAAAGGAAAGTTTTCGTAGCAAAATAAAGTTTTTTTCATGATTTTACGTTCGAACCAATAAGAAAATGGTATTTATAAGCCAGAAACAAATATGGTGTCACATGGTGATTATCATTATTTTGAATAAAACGTTTAAGAAGTTTTCGACGAGCAATTTATGCAAAAATAGTGTTAAAACAATACGCATAAGGTATTATAAAAGTATTTGACACTTAGTCACACATGTGACAACTTGTGAATCATACTCTGCGCCACCCACGGCTTTGAAGTGCTTGTTAAAGGACAGACAAACAGACTACTGTTTGTCTGTTCGATAGAAGGATTTTGTCAATGAAATATTGTAGGCGTGTGAAAAGCAAATTGTACGGCAGTTTCGTCTTCCAATATTTGTTTCGTTAAAATTTTTGGAATTTCATTATCTCTTATTTCCTAATGTCATTTTAATTACCACAAACCTGGTTTGTTTTTTGTTTCTTTATTTTTTTTAACAAAATTAATATTTGTTTTTTTTTTAATTTACTTTTTGTTTATTTTATTTTTTTTTAATTTAGGGAGCATAATATTAGTAAATAAATATGGCTCTTTACAAAAATAACAGAAACTAACCAAAAAATAAATTTAACGAAGTGTTCATTGGAGGTACCGATATGGTCAGTGTTAGTTCAGCTTCGAGTTCATAACAATTCACGATTACACATGAATGTGAATAAGATTTTTATAAAAAAAAAACCACAACCTCTAATCTTTGCTCATTCGCTTTCCGTCAGGGTTATAAACAGGTAAGTGTCACCACCAGGCACAGGACTTGTTCTTGGCGTCACTTGATATAATAATAAAAAAATAAAAAACTTCATATTATATAATTACTACTTTGATTTAATTTTTCTTTCTATTTTTAATCATTTCGGGATTCTCGAGGGTATCCACTTTATTACACAAACAAAATTACTACGACAAACACGCTTAAGAAAATTTATGGAGGAAAAGGACCAAGTCCGATAAACTCTGATATATCCATCGACGAAAAAGTGGGAAAATTCCGTCATCAAATGTATTTAAAAGCACGTAGTTTATTTAATTAGGTCTCTCGGAATTGGCACTTCAAAAACTTATCTCCTAATATAATGGCGAGTTGTCGTATTTCAAATCGAATTGCATACAAACTGATGGTAAAGAGAATATTAAAAGATCATAAAATGCTTATCTTTATAATTTGTCTCTTAACTTGAGAATTTACGTCGTCGTAAATTTGAACGAGGAAATTTTGGAGATTTTTCTATGAAACTTACCGAATTGTTCCTTAAATTGACGAGTGTTTTAGTATGTAAATTTGCGTAAAACGTGTTGAAAGGGAAGATCAATTTATATTATTTAATCGAATAAGATATTTTACCTTGCGACGTGATATTCAAAATTTTTCGGATCATAATTGCGTATATTTCTTTTTTCAAACATACCAACGTTCCGGGCCATTTACAGGTCCCATGGTCACTTCTAGCTGGCTTTATTGGTACAAAGTTAGAGATGTATTCTTCTTTTAATAAATAATCGTCAGCGTGTACATAGTCCCACTGTTGGGCAGGCCTCCTCTCACAATGAGAGGTCTTGGTCTGTAGTTCTTACGCGGGCCCAAATTGGGAATTTCACACATATAATTGAATTCCTTTGCAAAAACTCAGAGACGCAAGTCCGGATTCGAACTCACATCCCTTTGCTTGAAAGGTAGGCCATACCATCAGGCCCCATGGCTGCTTTCACGTGATTATTTAGTAAATGATTGAGTTCGAGATTAGAATCTCATGTCATATCAAAAGATTATCGATTTATACTAACACCAATCTAAGTTTGTCGTTCCAGTCTTTATGAGACAAAAAAGCAGCTATAAATTTGCAAGTATTAGTTTAAAAAGGGTGCATTAAAGTTAGTCTATCTACTAAATAAAACTCCACTATGGATTTCAAATCCGAATTGTAGGCGTCTATTATAATTAAACGATTTGCATAATGATTTCTTTCAGTTTCTCTAGCATTCTATTAGAGTGGAAATGCCTTCCCGACACTTTTCCATTTATCTCCGTATCTCCTCTGGCAGTATTCAGATCGTCACGCCCACCAGTTTCGGCTATCGTTTATCAAAATGAATATCAATATTCATTAGTTAGAGCTTGTGTGTTATGCATCTTTAAAATTAACAACAATGTCTGTTCAGCTAAAACTTGGATGAACTACGGAACTACTCTCGAAGTCCGTCAACGAAAAGACAGGCCCGATCGGAACCGTCAAACGGGCCCATTCAGATCAGTGAAATGACCCTGATCGAAATTCAATCTCATATCATAATAATCAATATCAAATAAATTGCGGGTACTTCGAAAGAATAAGACCCCTTGGAATTTGCTCTGTATATTTTAATTTATTTAAATAGTTTAAGTATACTTACAGTTTTAATTTTACATAAATGTGTTAGTATATATGCCAGTGAGTGTTGGCTATAACAAATTTTCAATTGCACTTTTCGCCATATCACCACAATCACAACCTCTCAGATCCACCACTTTGTATCACATCACTTGGGTCCTGGAAAACTTGTTTGCTGACCATGGATGCTGTTGAGGTTGGTGATACACTTCAAGATCTCACTTCATTTTTTCACTCCCGCATGGAGGACTTTGAGAAGGCTCTTCAGCAGCACACTATTTCAACGGTCCCTGCTGCCCAGCTGCAAACGGTTAAAGCCTTATCTGCAGACTATCAGCAGTTTAAAACATTTATAGTGAATGCGGTCAAAACATTGAAAATGCAGCTGGATCTTCTCCACACAGGTATGGATCGTCTGGAGACCCATTCTAGGCGTAAGGTTTTATTGCTTCATGGTTTGCCAGAGGACAATAAGGAGAACGTTGCTACTAGGGTGCTTGAGGTGTTAGGCGGTAGATTGAAGCTAATGCAAATCCGACCAGAGTGCATAGAGACCTGTCACCGACTAGGGACCGCTAAAAAAGACCGTACTCGCCCTGTGCTAGTCCGTTTTGCGACTTATAAAAGTAGATCTGTCGTATGGAAGGCCAAAACAGCGTTAAAGGGCACGAGAATTTCCATGTCGGAGTTTCTGACAAAGTCAAGGCAAAGCATATTTGCTACGGCCCGTAAGCATTTCGGCATTAAAAACTGTTGGTCGTCTGATGGTACCATAGTCGTGATATTGCCGGACAAAAGCAGAAAAAAAATCACGGAGTTTGGTGAATTACAAAAGCTCCAGGCCAGTTTTCCATCCACGGCAGGCAGCTGAATTGTTGACCAATATAATTATCTTGTTTATTGTGAGGTACTTCCACTTCCGTATTTATAACTTGTCTTTAGGTACCTCCGCTTTATGCTACCTTCCTTCCGCTAAAAGAATAAGGTATTTCATTATTTGAAAACTAAAATTATACCCCATAAACATAATGTTCATTTGCTTTATGTCAGCTCAAACTGTCAATATAATTTTTCGTTCTAAAATTTTTGGTTCATAATTGTTTTTTTTTTTTATTTTAGTAACTTTGGATTAGAGTACTTCATTTAGTAGAAATATCAATGTGATGTTTCCTTCTAAAATTTAAACTGATAATGAAATTTTTTTTTATTTTTTATTTTTCTCCATAACTATGTATTCAAGTAATCCAGTCGAAATATTAAGGATATTTAAATATAATAATGTCCAGTTATGAATTGTAACTTTATGGCTATGATGATTTTGTTGGTAAATAAATTTATTTGCCTTTACTGTTATTGTGTTGCCAACTCTCGCTGGTGATCTAATTTTTTTTTTTAATTTAATTTTTTTTTTTTATTGCTCTTAATTTTGCTTATTTAACTTATTTGTAGTATTTTGGTGTATACATATAGTGTTTTATTACTTATAATTTACATATTTATTAATTTCTATTTATGTCTATAAAGTCTAGTTATGTTACCGATAGCTCATCTGATGAATTTGAAAGTGCTTGTAGTGACTTTTCTATTTCTTCTGACTCCGATGGGCCTTCACTAGATGTTAAGCTGCGATCAATATTTCATGGAAAATCCAATTTCTTGAACTTAGTGCATATTAACGCGCAAAGTGTCCCTGGACACATCTCCGAATTAAATACGTCATTCAACAACGGCATAGTTGATGTAATCTTAATTTCAGAATCTTGGCTTAAGCCTTCTCTTCCATCCCCCCTTTTTTCACTCAATGGATATAAATTATATCGTAACGATAGAGTTGGGATTGGTGGTGGTGGTGTATGTATTTACATCAAGAACCACATCCCATGCTCCATTGTCAGCCAGTCTCCTAACACTTACACTGGGTCTTTAGAGTACCTGTTTCTGGACGTCAACTTACACCACACCAATATCTTAGTAGGTGTTACTTATAGCCCTAATATTAATGTCAATTATTTTGACTTATTTGAGACAACCCTTGAATCCTTGAGTGCCTCTTACGACCATGTAATATTGATGGGTGATCTTAATACTTGTTTATTAAAGAATAACTTCCGTTCCTCACGTCTTAACTCCCTTGTATCCGCAGTGAACTTTGTATTGCTCCCACTCACTGCCACCCATCATTCCCCCAATTGTCAACCTTCACTCTTAGATGTCCAGATAGTTTCGAAACCAGAGTCAGTGCTCTTGCATGGACAAACCACTGCCCCATTCTCGTATCATGACCTCATATATCTATCCTACCGAGTACGCACTCTCAAACCCAGAATTAAAGTCATTTTTCAGCGCAGCTTTGCTAGCGTTTGTGTGGATCGCTTGAGAGAGGATTTTTCAAATATTGACTGGTCTACACTGATTGAATCTAACACGGTAAATGAGAAGATCAAAATTTTTAACAATCTGTTAATAAAGCTGTATGACTCTCATGCTCCACTCAGACCAGTGCGCGTTAAGCATCTGCCTGCGCCTTGGCTTACACCATCAATAAAGAAAATCATGAAACGTAGGGACAAGGCCAAGTCGATCCTTAGGAGGTTTCCAGGTGACGATAATTTGCTTTCCTATAAACGGCTGCGTAATCTCTGCAACAGACTGTGTCGTGACGCCAAACGGCGTTACATCCATTCGTCGATGGAAGGATTGTCTATGGGTCAAACCTGGAAGTTCTTGAGATCTCTTGGTGTGGGTAGAGATCGTGACTGTACTATTGACTTACCTGATCTTAATTCACTCAACAAATACTTTACCAACTCACCATTTACAGTTGCTGACTCTGTCAAGACTTCCACGCTCACCTCTCTGGGCAATGTTGCACGTCCTGCTTATGAGCCTTTTTCTTTTCGCGAAGTCACTGAGGGGGAGGTTAAGAAGAGTATCCTATCCATTACTTCCAAGGCCGTGGGTGAAGATGGTATTTGCCGTGATATGCTGATACCTATCCTGGAAGACGTTACATCAATTATCACACACATTATGAATTGTTCACTTGCTACTGGCGTCTTTCCTAGCGACTGGAAATTAGCCCACGTCATTCCCATCCCTAAATCCGCTACTCCCACGACTTTCTCCCAATTTCGTCCTATCTCCATCCTACCATTCCTGTCCAAGGTCCTTGAAGGCACTGTTCATAAACAACTTTTCTCATTTGTCTCTCGTTATGATCTTATAAGTCCATATCAATCCGGTTTTCGTCCTGGTCATAGCACAGTAACTGCCTTACTTAACGTCACGGATGATATTCGCCACGCCATGGACAACCGATTGTTTACCATTATTGTGTTACTGGACTTCAGCAGTGCTTTCAACTCTGTCGACTATGACATCCTTCTTGCCATCCTTTGCTCTCTTAACTTCTCCCCTGCTGCAATCGCTTGGTTTTCAGACTACCTCCGCAATCGCCTTCAAAGGATCAAGCATGATGACACCTATTCTGAATGGTCTCCTTTGACTTCAGGGGTGCCTCAGGGTGGTGTACTTTCACCTCTCCTCTTCTCGCTGTTCATAAACGAACTCGCAAAACGAATAACTCCTCCGTTCCACTTATACGCTGATGACGTGCAAATTTATAGACACTTTGATGTAGCTAATACCCTATCTGCCATTGAAGCCATTAATAAAGATCTTCTTGTGGTGAAGTCTTGGGCTGATGCGTTTGGTTTGCTTATAAACCCAATGAAATCACAGGCAATAATCGTAGGTAGCAACAGACTTTACTGTAGGTTGGACATTGATAATCTCGCCAAGGTTTCGTATAATGGAGTGAGTCTTGCATATGCTGATAATACAAAGAACCTGGGTCTGATAATCGATCATACACTGTCTTGGAGACCGCAGGTAAATGAGGTTAGTCGACGCATGCATTTTTCCTACCATTCTCTCAAGCGGCTTCAATTCTTCTTGCCATTCAATACGAAGGTTATGCTTGCTCAATCTTTACTACTTCCTCTTCTCGACTATGCCGATGTTTGTTATTTGGATGCTACTGAGGAGCTGCTTAACAAACTGGAGCGCCTACAAAATCTGGCAATCCGTTTCATATTCGGTTTACGAAAATATGACCGTGTCTCTGAATTTCGGACTAAGTTGAAATGGCTACCAATCCGACTTCGCCGAGATATGCACGTTCTTTGTCTCCTTTACAAAATTCTACATTACCCCCAGCTTCCTCATTATCTGTGTTCCCGTTTTTCTCCCTTATCCCCCAGTTCCCGCCCAAAACGTACCTGTGACACTAGATCACTAATAAATCCCCAATCCAACTCGAAATTCTTCCACAACTCTTTCACGGTGAGTGCAACTCGTATGTGGAATAAACTGCCTGCTGGCATTCGTGACAGTCCATCGGTGGCATCTTTCAAACATAAATTAAAAGAGCACTACCTGTCGAACGCGTTAGATAGCTAATAGGTAACATATATTATAAAGTAGTAATTTGTTTAGATTATAATATATATTCTGCTTATGTTTGTATTTATGTATATAAATTATTTTTATGTATATATATATATATATATTAATATATATATTATTATTTTTATTTTTTTTTATTCACATTTAAATTTAAATTTTATTGTACAATAATTAGTCCCGCAGACTTCATTTTTCACCAAGGCTAGGGTTGGCTGGAAGAGATCTCTTCTAGAGATAAGCTCACCTTTGTATATGTTCTTTATAACTTGTGTTTCATGTATCTTTTCTTTGTGCAATAAAGAGTTATAATCTCATAATCAAGTCTATAGTGTGAAAACGGTCCTAACAGTGGATTTCGAGCTTCGAAGGAAGAGCCTCAGTTTAGTTTCCGCCTGAAAATATTGTTGCAATTCTTAACCAAGTCACAAAACGTTTGTTCCCTTTAAAAACACTGCAAGTATATTTTCTTTGAAAATTGAAATTCTGATCATGTCTATAATTTACGACAAACGCAAGACGGCTCGTAATAAATGAGAAATTGTGAAAAATGACCCCAGCGCCGGTTCGCCGTTAAATTTACATTAAGTAGAGAAAACCAATGGCCTATTAAATAGGAACACTGCTATAGCTATAGTCTCCTAATTACATAGTCCTCGGGGGTTTACAAAGCAGGTCCGTTGTTTTATTTTCTATTCGTACAAAATGTTGTTAATAAAAATTTAAACGAAAAAAATTAGATCACTACTAACCTAACATCTTAAATAAATAAATATTAGTCAACATCACAAACGTTGTTCTGATCCCTTAAGAAAGTAACCAAGTTACTTGTATTATGGAAATCGGAAACAACGACGGTACCACAAATACCCAGATCCGAGACAATACAGAAAAGCTGGTTTTTCTACACTGACCCGGCCGGGGACATCAGAGATGGCGACATGTCGTCAAAAAACTTGAACCAATGGAGGATTTACCTTTATACATATATACTAATAGTAACACAGAGATTGACAGGTTATAATCGACAATTATCATTGAACATTCGGCGCCATAGCCAACCAGAGTAAAGCCAGATAAGTTGGATTATGGATATGGTGGTCAGATTCGTGCTGGCTATACAAAGGCATGCTATTCGGGTAGGCAACGTTGCTAGGAATGAGCGTGGATGATAACATCAACAACATCGAAATAAACGATATCTAGAATATAACTAATCAGCTAGAAACACCTTATGAATGGAAGTGATGATAAAACTAAACCGGTGGTTTGAAGAAAAGTGGCAGCGCTTTTGGAGGTGGCAGTGCTTGTGATTGGTGGATATTATTAAAATAAAACTAAAACTAAACCTATTGAGATAATTTGGTAGAAGTGACAATAAGAGAAAAAACAAAGCTGACACGAAAACAAAAGCACAAAAGCGAAAAAAATAAGGCCTATTTTAGAACCTCTCGTTAGATGTTAAAAGAGCGAATTAGGGCCACTTCTACTATTCGACGCTCCGGCGTGATGTGAATTTGATGTTTTATATTTTATTGCCGTCTCTAATGACTTCTGGAGCAACAATAACCAAAGTCAAATTGATTTACGTAGTATCTCCTATTTGCATATGAGAAAACAAATAAAACTTTGCAACTACTACATCCATTATCAAAACTTATATATTTTTTAATGTGTTTGTGAATTACGTAAAGTTCATTTTCCAAATTGGTCCTACCGGGACCTCATACAGTGTCCACAGTGCAAACCGTTGGGCCACCGAAATCAAAATTAATAGTTAGCATGTACTTAAGTCTTGGTAGTGGATATGGCAGTTTCGATGCAAAAACTCGTGTTGTACTGATTGCCTAATCGTCCAACAAGTCCGAGTTAAGATATGATGTAATGCCTACCTATTAGTCTGCAAAATATACTCGGCGCTTGGTCCTCGTTCAGTTGCGTAAACGAAAATAAAAATGAATCAGATTACATATTTATCAGTCCCTAACGTAATTGGGTAAAGGGATGAGTTCATTCACACACCCGCAAGTCTGAAAATCAAAATGTATATTTTCGGTTTGACTGGGTTAGCCTCAGCTATTTATACATAGGTAAATGGTTGAATTTAAAACTCTTATCATTGTTTCTGGATTGCCAGTTTTAATCCCTGACGCAAAAAGAGGGGAGTTAGAAGTTTAATGCCTTTGTCTATGTGTCTATCTGTGGGATAGTAGCTTCTAAACGAATGGTCTGATTTCGAAGCGGTTTTTTTTTTGTTATTTCAAGGCTAATTTAATCGTTATGCGTCTTAGCTGTTTGATAAACATCTTTTCAGCTGTTTCAAGATCACAAGATCCGATAACCTTGAGCCACCTGAAAAGACTTTTCGAAAAATACATCGACTATTGTGAAGGGATAGAAATTTCTAAACTGTAATGCAAAGTTCGTATTTGGTAAAGTTTTATTTTAAACCTAATTGCTGATAGAAGTTCCTGTCCAAACGATGTTAACGTCTAAATTGGAGACGAGATTTGGCTGACTTAGCAATGAAGCGAGCAACTTTCCTTTTAGGGGAAGGCTCATATTTAGCAATGTTTAAATGGATAAATCAGTTAAGTTTATTTAAGCTTCCATTATCATAAATTAAAATTGAAGATTATAGAACTCTGTCAAACTTGGTTAATTGCAAACAGTAAAATACGTATTCGAGTTTAACAACGCGTAACCCTTTCATGAACAGTAGCTGTGTTTACAGTAAAATAAATATTAGAATATGATAGCACGGGGTACCCCTTTCGCTATATTATTAGCAGTAGAGCTCTTTGTGAAAGAGTTCATCGAGGGAAGTAATGCCATATTACCTATTTCTGCCGCCAAGTACTAATGTGAGCATTATTGTTTTATAGTTTTGAGGGGTAAGGGTGTTGGTGAAATTACGGGCACATGGAACATGCTTGTGACAGGTTCAGTAGCAGTATCGCTCAGATCTTTACGATTTAAAGCTCTGAGTGGCACTGCAACTGCTGTGGACGAGTGTTTCGCTTCACACCAGCCGCATGACTTGTTCGCTGGTCCCACGGCTGATGGACTTAATAATAAAAATGGATCTCAAACGTGTTTTACGGTGCGTTTTCCGAATGCGTTAGCTGAAAATTTAAAAAAATATATTCTTCTTCATGATTTTCTTAAATACACTTAGCCTATTCTTATCCGTTGTAAAACAAAAATAATTACAGTCATTCAACAAACAAGGAATTCAACAGCGCGCGGAAATTTAAGAGTAATTATAATTTAAAATCAGAGTGGACAAGGACATTTTTAAGTACCTACGCTAATGATTCATAACATCTTAACCTATAATGAATATTCGACCAAAAGAATCCCACGGCACATTGACAAAAACACAATAGTAAACGGAGTACATATATAAACCTACACAATAATGTTGTGAACACGGAAGGTTTCTTGTGTGGAATAGAATTTACAAATGCTCATTTAAATACCGGCACGTAAGCTTCATTTGTTTGTAGATTAAGATCATTAATTCATCACACAGACTGGTAATTGTTGTGGTTCTGTGTATTTATACCTACATGTTTCATAACGACAAAGTTGGAGTGTTATATAGTCGAAGCTTCGGGGCTGCTCGAGTTTTACGGAAGTTCACGACTGCATTGTAATTTGACCTTATGTATGTATTTTTTTTGCTTATTAGTTTGCCATTTAAAAATTACCTAAGCGATATAGATATAAGGTTGATATTCTGTTAATTATAGTTTTCCTCGATAATATTGTAACCATAATTAACGAAAAGGGTTTAGATATAAAATAATATTTAATTTGAAGTGACGATGTACAGGATACAACTATTTCTCAATATTTTGATATTCGTCCGTTTCCGTAAAATACGAATGACTCCGAAGTTCGGACTTTAAAAAATTATAAGTACTATAATCATAAAATGTTATGAAATAGTAAATAGGGACAAAATATTTATATATAGGTACGCATTTTTAAACATCTTAATACATTGCACTTACGATTTTAACACTGTTACGACAGAAATGCAAGTCACTGACAAGAATATTTTTTAAAACCCTCCATTATTGTCCCTGTTATCATTAGACAAGTAAATATCGCTATCACATTATTGTATTGTAATTTTATTTGCGTTGTATCACACAACGTGACTGAGTTTAGTTGACATGTCTTCATTATGTGTACAAGTTTGAGAATACGTATATATATATATATATCACTTTATATTAAAGTCACTGTTAGAATAACTTCAATAATAA